CTGAAATGAGGTCAGGTGCGGAATTTTGTCATGTCAGGTGTGATTTTCACAGAGGTTCTCTACCCCATCCATGCTAGGCACAAGTTTAGTGATGTTGGGCATAGGCGAACTTGAGAACTCTCTACCTTAATAATGTCGAGCGCAAGGAAAATTGCACTAGGTGTAGTTTGCTTAGTAATGTTGTGGTGTCTTCGAGCATAAGTGTTAACATGTGTAAGTTAGTTGAATCTATTACATGTTGTAGATTGTTAGTTCTTTATACATGACCGTGCTAAAAAGTTTGTCCTAAATTTTGCCTATAAATAGGAATGTCCAAACTACATTGTAGTCATTCAACTTTTAGTATCAATTTTATATTTCTCTCTTTCTTCTAATCTAGGGTTTTGATGTAATGTTTCTCACAAACTGCTTATGAATTATTTACTATCGTATTATTTTAATACTTTATTTCTTATTTTAGTTAATTAGAAATGTATAATCAAACTTTTTTAATAAATTAACATAAATAATTAAATTTTAGAAATTGGCATGATCAAACTATTTTCTTAATCTCCAATTGAATTAATATATTAGTTCGCTTATGCATGCATATGTTTTGTTTTTAGAATAAAACTCTTATAATCAATTTGGATTTTTCTTAAGATAAAGACTATTGGCTTCCTAAAACCATAGAGTTGTCAACAATTTTATAAATACAATTGACAACATTGTTTTATAATTCATGAAATGCATCTTAGGGGATAGGGACAATAAGTCACAACCCTAAGATTTTTAATTTGTGAATCTCAATCCTTCTATTTTATGTTTTAATTGTTATTTTTTTTTATCTTTTCTCAAATTAAATTTCTATCCCTTCAAATTGTTAAAAAATCACGATTGAGTTAGTAATGGCTTGAACCTAATCATTTGGATTCGATATTTAAATTTTATCCATTGTTACTACTACAATAAAGTACACTTACTTTTAAACACATTTTAAACGTAATATTAGATTACGATAATCATATTTAGTATGTGAGTATAGGATAGTGATAGGTTGTAGGTGGAGTTTGTGTTGAGATTATGCTAATAATGACAATGTTGATCTTTTGAACTACTTGATGTAACTAGAATTTAGTTGTATTAGCTAAAATTTTTCATACTTTAATACCAAATAATTATATATATATATATATATATATATATATATATATTTGAACGGATGAGATATTCAAATGATTCGATTAACTTAATTCCTAATCCTGAGATATCCCATCATCACGTGCATTCACTAACAGTAACTTCTAGAAACACATCATCACGTGCCCTACCTCCTTTAAATTCACCTCATGCCTTTACACACACCCAACTTTGATAGGGTTTCTGCCGTTTACTCTTTGTAATGTAACTAAACCTAGATGCAAACTGCAACCCTAAACCCTTCCTCCTCCGCCGCAGGACTAAAAAGAATCCTTTCTCTTTCAATCCAATATAGCCACTAAACGAATCCTCTTTCATATTTGGCCAATTTAATATATATCTTCATACATACACCCATCATATTTTAATCCTTCCCTATTTACCTAATTTCTTTTGGTTAGCCTCTTTGGATCTGCTGTACCATATACTTAAGCCTACAAATATTTAAAGTTTCAACCCAGTTTGAATACAAGTACTAAAGATCTGGTCAAATGCAGCAGTTGTTGCGCGTTGATCCGATCTTGAAACATGATGACATCAATTAATCTGTCAACAACTGTGATTTCCTTAGTTAGTGATCTTGTAAGATCTCTGTCCTGAAGATTGGATATTGGAGTAAGGAGAACAAATTAAATATGTTTTGGAGCCAATTTCTTTCCAATAAATCCAAAGTAGATATAAATTTTTAAACATTATTTTTATTTATATAAAATTTACGAATTTTTATTTTGATTCCTAGAAAATTATTTTATATAAGACTAAAATGCAATCAGCTGAACTCAACAAAAGGAATATCATACCAGAAAGAACGACAAGAAATATTAGCATCTCCTAAGAGCTTGTAATGTATTGTAAGGTCATCATTCAGATTTCAATGCACAATTGCACATGATAATTCAGTCGTGTTGGGATTTCGATTAAGATTTAAGATCATGAAGCAGCTACTTGGTTTAATTTTTTCTGACCACATCATCAATCAGCATAGTAATTAAACTTTCACTGTTTTTTGGGCTTGAATGAATACTGCAGTTTGAACCATGTTAAATTCCATGCCTAATTTTCTAACCTTGTTTTCCATCTGTGGAGCAGATCATAACACGAAATTAACGGTCATAATATTTAATTTTCGATTTAAATGTTTTTCCTTAGACTACTGTCATAAAAAATCTGAAATTGTTTTGAATAACTCTTTGAACGGATGAGATATTCAAATGATTCGATTAACTTAATTCCTAATCCTGAGATATCCCATCATCACGTGCATTCACTAACAGTAACTTCTAGAAACACATCATCACGTGCCCTACCTCCTTTAAATTCACCTCATGCCTTTACACACACCCAACTTTGATAGGGTTTCTGCCGTTTACTCTTTGTAATGTAACTAAACCTAGATGCAAACTGCAACCCTAAACCCTTCCTCCTCCGCCGCAGGACTAAAAAGAATCCTTTCTCTTTCAATCCAATATAGCCACTAAACGAATCCTCTTTCATATTTGGCCAATTTAATATATATCTTCATACATACACCCATCATATTTTAATCCTTCCCTATTTACCTAATTTCTTTTGGTTAGCCTCTTTGGATCTGCTGTACCATATACTTAAGCCTACAAATATTTAAAGTTTCAACCCAGTTTGAATACAAGTACTAAAGATCTGGTCAAATGCAGCAGTTGTTGCGCGTTGATCCGATCTTGAAACATGATGACATCAATTAATCTGTCAACAACTGTGATTTCCTTAGTTAGTGATCTTGTAAGATCTCTGTCCTGAAACAATATGACCAATGTTATGAATTATGAAAAATTAAAAGGACGAATTTAAATCAAAATCAAAACTATGTATTATTTATTATTTATATTTCATATCTGTAAGATCAATGATTTCAGTAGAGTTTTATATCATGCCTGATTTTATTTGTAAATTATATTATAATTAATTAGATTAGATAGATTGAGTTATATGTCATTCGAAATTTTTTATAGCGATAATATGGATTCCTTAATATTATTTATATAAGAACACGTTTTTTGACTAAGATCTATTTTAAAATACAAGAATTTAAGAGATTGATTTGATGTTTTTATTTGATTTTCATTTATATTAAAATAATGTTTAGTCAATAAAAATATAAAATAAAAAAAAAATCATTAAATATGGTATCATGTCAAATCTTTACACTTACCAATTATTCAAAAATAATAATATTTAAAGTCATATTTCTTTATCTTGCATATTAATAATTCTAAACAAAACCAAAGAAGAGCACGGGTATTTTATTCCCTTTTTCCTAATACGTGAGACTTGATGACTTCGACGAATCTGTTATTCTATGTTAGATTGATTCCAACAAATTCACTCAAAGACACACACACACTATATATATATATATAT